ATTTGGTAATTTAAAATATATTCATGTACACATAGATACTTACAGCGGGTTCATACTTGCTACCCTCCAAAAGGGAGAAGCCACCAAACATGTTATAGCTCATTTATTGCACTGTTTCTCCATCTTAGGCATTCCTAAGCAAATAAAAACAGATAACGGTCCTGGCTATACAGCTAAAGCTTTTCAAGATTTCTGTGATAAATTACAAATAAAACATGTTACAGGAATCCCCTATAATCCTCAAGGACAGGGAATGGTTGAGAGAGCCCATTTATCGTTAAAAACTACTTTTGAAAAAATAAAAAAGGGGGAATGGTACCCCACTAAGGGTACTCCCAGAAACATCCTCAATCATACTCTTTTCATAAAAAAAATTTTTAACATTGGATGATCACGGAAAGTCTGCTGCTGATCGTTTTTGGCACTCAGAATCTCAAAAACAATTTGCCATGGTAAAATGGAAGGAATTCCTGGCATGGCCTAGACCCAGTGTTAATCTGGGGGAGAGGCTCAGTCTGTATCTTCTCTCAACAAAATGACGCAGCTAGATGGCTGCTGGAGAGACTGGTGAAACAAGTCGATAATAACAATCAATCCAGGGAAAGAGTCTCTCCCTGAGAGTGTCCCCCCTTTTTATTCACAGAAATGAATCCTGGCAAGTTCCTCCTGTGGACCACAATCCTGCATTATTATATTACGGGGATCCATGCTGGCCTTGGTGACCCTGGCAAGGCTCATGCCATACTACAGCAACGGTACGGAAAACCTTGTGACTGCCACGGGGGATATGTGCAAAGCCCCCCAAAGACGCCTATCTTAACTGTGACTTGCCCAACTCATACAGCCTATCAAGTCAGATTTTCCCTTAAATGGCAGTGTGTTAAGCCCCCTAAAGCCGTTCCTTCCCTTAATGGGCGCCCTGGGCCTTGCCCTTGCAAAACGTTTTATCAAGCCATGCATAGTACGTGCTGTTCTTCTTATCAGCAATGCACAGCAGGCAACAAAACATATCTTACCACTGTACTACAATTTACTCTGGGTCTACTGGAGGTGATTGGAGTATTGTTCCGGTTATCCAAGGAACCACCACCAAATTGGGACAAGCCTCTTGTCAAGGTATAGTGGGACAGCATGTATGTTGGGACACCGAGCCTCCTGTGCATGTGTCAGACGGAGGAGGTCCTCAGGATCAAATCAGAGAGATTATTACACAAAAAAGAATTGAGGAGATACAGGAAGTCTTGTATCCTCAAATCCAGTATCATCCTTTAGCTTTGCCTAAGGCTAGAGGTGGTATGGAGCTTGATGCTCAAACTTTTAGCATTCTTGAAGCTACATATAATTTGCTTAATGCTTCTAGTTCAACTTTGGCTCAGGAATGTTGGCTTTGCATGCAGCAAGGATATCCTGTTCCTCTTGCTATACCTAATCCCTCTTTAAACTATTCAGTGAACAGTACTTGCATTGTGATCCCTCCTTTTCAGGTGCAACCTTTTCAGTGTTTTAATTCCACTTCTTTTTCCTCTCCCTTTTTCAATAACACTGATAAAATTGACATGGGTTTGGTAACATTTACACGCTGTAGCAGCGTGACCAATATTTCAGAGCCTTTGTGTGCTTCTAATGGCTCAGTCTTTGTTTGCGGCAACAATAGAGCTTACACCTTTTTGCCCACAGACTGGACAGGATTGTGTGTTTTGGCCTCCCTCCTCCCGGACATAGATATTATCTCGGGTGATGAGCCTGTTCCCATCCCTGTCATGGATCACATGATGGGAAGAACTAAGAGAGCAGTTCAGTTTATTCCTTTACTTGCAGGGTTAGGGATCTCCACTGCACTTGCCTCCGGCACTGCCGGCCTAGGCGTTTCTCTTACTCAGTATACCAGGTTATCTAGACAACTGATTTCAGATGTACAAGCTTTATCAAGTACCATACAAGATATTCAAGATCAAATGGACTCCTTAGCAGAAGTAGTGTTACAAAATAGAAGAGGTCTAGATTTGCTTACAGCAGAGCAGGGAGGTATTTGTTTGGCTTTACAGGAAAGATGCTGCTTTTAAGCAAACAAATCTGGGATTGTCAGAGACAAGATCAAGCAACTTCAAGAAGACTTGGAGAAGCGAAGAAAAGAACTGGCTGCCAACCCATTATGGACAGGATACAATGGACTTTTACCCTATATTTTACCCTTTTTGGGCCCCATAGTTAGCTTGTTCTTATTGTGCTCCTTAGGGCCTGTGATATTTAATAAACTTATGACGTTCGTGAAGCAGCAAATTGAAGCCCTCCAAGCTAAGCCTATTCAGGTCCATTATCATCGCCTTGAGATGCTTGAATCGGGTGGCTCATACACATAGTTATGATACCTACCCTTGTGTGCTGGACTGGACAGTGACGGGTAAGATCGGGCACAAGTCATACCAACCTAAGACAGACATTGGTTTGCTTTTTGTTTAAATAAATCTGCTGCATTCCATTGATCAATGACAGGTAAGGATGACTTGTGATGCCCGACAACCTAAGATAGACTTTTTTGCCTTTATAAGCTGTGGCTTGTGGAGAGAAATAAAGAAGAGAGAAACTGAGAGAACAGAGAACAAAGACCGCTCAGCCTGCTGTCTCGGCCCCATTCTTCACGTCCCGCTCCCTCTATCCAGGACCCACGTTGCTGCTCCCGCTGGACGGGACATTTTAACATCAAGTTGTGCTCATTTCCAGACCTGAATAGTCTTGAGGGTCCCATCAATTTCTGTCCAACCATTAAACCTGATCTCTTTTATGATTTTGAGTTCTGTTTCACATTTTGTCCTCCCACTCAATCCAGGGCCTTCTACTCGTGATGCTTTGTAGAGCAGTTGACAGTGGCAGCTGGGCATTATCTAATTCTGTTCTCAGGGTCAAGGGGATTGATGTTTGCATGGTCCACTGTATGGTTTCCATGTATCTCTTGTAAACTAATTTTTTTAGCAGTAAAGAGCAGACAAGACACAAAGAGATACATATATTGGGGGAAATGCCACATAAGGATCAACAAACAATCCAAGAATGACCAGATAGGTTTGGTATAGTTGAGACCCGGTTTTGAACTTTGAAGGTTTTAGGCTCTGAGGAAATAAATTTTTGTTTTTTTAAATCAATTGTTTGTGGCATTTCTTTTACAACATCACTAGGTAACTAAGACAGATGCCCCCTCCAGTCCATCTCCCCACTCCTTGCACACAGTAACCCTTCTGCCTCCTCTCAGCCACGCTGATGTCACTCTCAGTCTAAGACTATGAGTTCCCAGCACAATGACATTCTCTCAGTCTCCCTGCTTTCAGTTGAGATGCTTCTATTTTTCATGAAGCGATCTTAGAGTCTTAATGCCGTATGTGTTCCTCTCATGGGACCACAGATGGGTGGGTAAATTCAATGTTCAGGCAGAAGGGGAGGGCCAGGGAAGAGGAAAGGTGAGGCTGAGTGGGAGGAAGGCTCATGGCACAGAGAGGGCACACTAGTTCCTGCATGAGCCTCTACATAGAATGGAAAAGCCGTTACTTTGATTGGAAATAAACATGACTGTGTGTATGTGTATGTGTGTTTGTGAGGCAGGCAGCAGGGGTGGGGTGATGGGGAAGGACGGTGGAAGATCATGAGTTCACCTTTTGGACTTGTTAAATGACACAGTTTCAGCTGTTCTCTGCACATAAGAGGTGTGGAAAATAACTTTCCTTTAAAGAAAAATTTTAAAACATTAAAATGTGGGTTTAAAGACTAAGTAAAAGGTTTAAAAGCAAATATGCTTGCTTGTCCTGTACTTGCTGCTCCCATGACCCCGGTACCCAACTGGAGAAAAGGGTGAAGACTCTGAACCTTTCTAGGACCAAATTTATCTGTTAGTTTCTCTCCTGATAGAAAACATTCCCTAAAGCCCCTTACAACCAATTGGCTTCTAGGTCTGTGCGACTTCTGTACCACATGGCTAACTTTCCAGCTCCTGAAACCACGCTTCTCAGAACGTTATGCATGGCTCTGAGGTGTCCACTCTTGCTGTGGTACAGCAGTGACCTCATCTGGTGCCTCCCCAAGGCATCTACTGGAGTCCCACAAAAACGCCTCTAGTTCAGGTAGGGATCTACTTATTCTCAGGCCTCCATCTACCGCAGTGACTCTTTAAACGCGAGCCATCCGTTTTTACTGGAGCAATAGTCCTCTGCTCAGTGTCCCCATGCAATGACCCTTGAATGTCAGGTTAACATCCTGCCTCTCCTTGACCCAGCAGGTAGGCCCATCTCTAATGGCTACACCAGGAACCGCTTCATGCCTCTCACCTGCACAACTCACGATCTGCTTTCTGCCACCTTCTGCACCTAAAGGGCTGTCCTGTACCATCTCCACCCAAATTTCGACTTCCTCTACATGCCCGTGCAAGTCTGAAAGGAGACCCCTCTCTCCAGATGTCTTGAGTACAACAGCATAAAAGCATCACCTTGTAAAACAAGGATTGTTTTACAGGTCCCCAGAAGGAATGCCAAGTGATGACTGGGAAGGGAGGAGTCATTGGAAAGAACTCCCTAGGAGGGCTTGAAAAGAATGGGAGGGGGCAGGGAAGTGAGGGTACTTCCAGAAGGATCAGGCCAGGCCTGGGGGCAAAGTGAAGAACCCTGGCAGTGACCTGATTGCACCCTCCTCCGCATGAGGAAGATGAGGCTTTCTGCTCCTGGAATGAGTTGTTGCCTGATCGGTTCCACGGGGTTGCTATGAGCCAGAAGTCACTCTATGGCAGTGGGTTTGCTTTTTCTTTTTGGGGTTTGTGATGGGTGAAAAACCATTGTCTCACTCAGGGGACCAGGAGCCAAGGCAAGCTGACTTCTTCCCTGGTTTCCAGTCTTGGCTTCTAGGTCCATGGGGCACCCACCCACTCTATAGACAACACAGCAACCCATGGGTGTGAGTACAGAGGGGTGGGAACACTGTCTCCCCCACACAAGGGTCTGGGTGGGGCCCACTCCACATACCTGAATGGTGATGATGAGGGGAGACAGTTCCTGGCTCAGCGGCGCATAAGCAGATGGGACCGAGGCATGCAGATTCAGAGTGGCTCACTGCATGCGTGCAGGCTTGTGCTGTGGGGGTCCTAGGAGACAGTCCTGGAGCTACTGACTCCAACTCCACCTCAAGGCGAATTCCAGGGCTGGGCATGCTGAGACCTGGAGACCAGTGGGGACACATGTTGAGTTGTGCAAAGGGCTAACTGTGCCAGACCGTCCTCCCACTCAGCCAGGGGATGCCAAGCCTCAGGATCCAGCTGTCTCCGCCGACCATGGGGCTGAGAAGGGACTCCCCGCCACTGGGATGAGACTCGACCTAGGCGAGACAGAGTGGCTCCCTCAGAGCCTGTGCTCTCCCCTCACGCTACTTGTTCCAGGTGCTAATGAGGCCCTACAGGTGAACCCCTCAGGCCCCTCTCCCAGGGAGGAAGCAGAGCCACACTACTGGGTTAGCACACTCAGCTATCACAGTGCCACCCTGCCACCTGGTGGTCAGTTCTGTGTTTTGCCTTCACAGAGGTACCCACACTGAAGCCTTCCTCTCAAATTGCCAGCTGCCATATCCTGTCCAGTATTCCTATTCTTCATGTTGGTGCTCTGGGCTCCCTTCCGCTGCTGCACGGGCTTCCCCGGTCATCTTGTCGAGTCCAGAGGTATCATCACCACTTATCCTGGGAGGACTCCCAAACTCAACTCTCTCGTCCCCACCAGTGCCTGTGACAGGAGACAGGACATGCCTACCTGGACACATGGTGGCCATTCACATAGACTGAGTCACTAAGCTCACCTCCTGCTGCCTACACAAATGCCCCAATCGCCACAATGCTACCCGCACATACATATACGTTAGCTTTTAACCCCTAACATTCCATTAACAAGTACCTAACCACTCCCTTCCTATCACACTCCTACCAGTCCCAGTCACCAAAGTGACCACAATTGCTGCCTCCCTGGGATCCTGCTGCCTCTACCCCAGAGTGAAGTGTTTTCCACCAGACCCTAAATCAGCAGGCCAATTTCTTTCCTGCCTTAGGTCTCCTTCAGGTTCCACTTTGATCAGATTCTGTTCAGACACCCTCTACTGGCCTCCGGTTCTTTGTATCATTGGAGGGAACATGTTTGCCACATGAGGTATGAAGCTTGGAGGAGGGACCCATGGTACAACAACCAGGCCTGAGGAGTCAGGGACATGGAACAACAACAGGAGCTCACCAGCTCTCCAGCACTGATGGGTCCTGCATAGCCTGCTGTGGGTGCTGCCTGCCAGCCTAGGGATGGGCTTGTCCTCTTGGACATGTGCTTTTTGCGAGTTTCCAGTGGCTACTATGTGCCAGGGGCTGTGCAGGTCCTCAGGGGACCCAGTGGGGGACAGATATGAGGAACAGTGGGGAGTACAGTGCAATGGAAAAAAAGAGGGAGCGGGAAAGCCTGAGCAGCTCTGGACCCACCATCCAGCACCCTGCGAGACAGAGTACTGAAAGTGCCTGTGACTCCTGGAGGATGCTCAGGCATCAGCTCCCACCACCCCACCCTCTGCTGGAGTGCCTTCTGCCTTGACTTTCCTGATGGTGGAGGCAAGGCTCATAGAGAGAGCAGGGTCTCATGTTCCTTTCTACCACACCTGGAAGAAAGCTCACTTGGATGGAGAAAGCTGAGGAGTGATATCAAGAGGAGGCAGTGGCAGAGGCGGTGTGGACAGTGAGGATGTGGTCAGATGATCTGGATGGGGGTGAGGTATGGCTTTTCTGTAACACACTGGCAAGCAGAAGGTGCAGGAAGCCAAGGTGATGGTGGGTGTCACCCACTGGACTCATGCTTGTCATAGAATGGAAGTTGACTGCTGAATTGCGATTAGGAAAAGTCAGAAATTGGTAGTCTCAGGAGGTCAGAGGGCAGGTACAGGAATACAGGTGGTGGGACCAAGCGAGAGCGTGGGGACTGGGGTCCGGCCAAGCCTGGACAGATTCCTGGCAAGGGCAGGGGCAAGATGGGTGGAAGTGTGGACAAAGGTCAGATATGACATGGCTGTCCAAATGGCAGCAGGGACATAGGAGACAATACTGACACGTGCATGTTCCTCAAGCTTTCTCTTCCAAGGGGAGAATCAATCATTGTATTATTTACTCAGTTAACTCTGTTTTAAAATACATGGTTCAATAGTAAAAATCTTTATGAATATTTATGACATGGAAAAATCCAGTATCCATTGTTCAGCTACTCAGTTTTCCACCAAGGTTCTTGTATACTATTCCAGAAAACTAGAGGCTCACAAAAGCACCAACACATAAGGCAGTAGTTCTCAACCTTCCTCATGCCGAGACCCGTTCATACAGTTCCTCATGTTATGGTGACCCCCCAACCATAACATTATTTTTGTTGCTACTTCATAACTGTAATTTTGCTACTGTTATGAATTGGGTGACCCTGTGAAAAGGTCGTTCAACCCCCAAAGGGGTCACAACCCACAGGTTGAGAACCGCTGACATAGGACATCTCTGCCATTTTGGCTAAGTCGTAGCAAACGCTCACTTTAAATCTTGATTTTCATTATATGTGGGATTTTGGTGGCCAGGACACAGGGAGGGCATGTGGTAGGCAAGGTGGCCTCTCTCATCCACATCTTAATTCCCCGAACTTCAGATATGCTAATTACACAGGTAAAGGGGCTCTGCTGAGGGAATTGAAGCTGTGGACAGCTTAGCCAGGTGGACCTTACCTAATCAGTACCATCACTACCATTGGATGATTACAATTCATATAGATCAGTGGTTCTCAACTTTCCTAACGCCTCAACCCTTTAATACAGTTCTACATGTTGTGGCTACCCCCAACCAAAACATTATTCTCGTTGCTACCTCATAACTGTAAATTGCTACTGTTATGAATCGTAAATATGATATGCAGGATGTATTTTCATTGTTACAAACGGAACATAATTAAACATAATTAAAACATAGTGATTAACCACAAAATAATTAATCATATATTGTGAAATATGCATGTTTTCTGATGGTCTTAGGCGACCCCTGTGAAAAGGTCATTTTACCTCCAAAGGGGTCGCAATCCACAGTTTGGGAACGGCTGATATAGTCTCACCTATCTCATGGCTTGTGTTTAAATTTTGGATTATCCATCCAATGCTTACCCGACAGCGCCACCAGGGTTTCTGAACCTAATCTCCGAAACGCTTAAGCGCAGAAGTGATGTGACACATGAGATGAAGTAGAGGAAACGGTCAACGATATTCCGAGCAAAAGGTAGTACAAGCCACAGACTAGGGGCGGGGAGGACGCCCCGTGCTGTTGCTATGGATGGGCCCACCTGACAGGCAGCAAAATCGGGGGACCTCGGTCCTACAAGTGAAAGGAGTAGAATTCAACCCAGAACCAGGAGCCTGGAAATAGGTTCTCCTGGTTAAAGGACCAGCAGCTACCCGCCCACAGCTAACAAGCGCTGGAGCGCCCTACCCATCCCCG